TATTTTTTTTCAATACTTCATAAAAGCAAACTATGTTGGAAAAAAAAACTTATGCAGTTTTTCGTGCGTTTTTCATACAGAAAGATTTGAATTTAATTTCACGACTATTCAGTTATTAAAGTGACCTCTAAAATTCAATTTATTTTTCAAGATTCGTTGACAGATTTTATTTTCCTTGCTCTGGCGGTCTGTTGAACTTGTTGAGGTTTAAATCTGACTCACAAATTACATAATCTATCAAACGCTTTGTGTAAGCTGTCAGAAAAATATTATCATTTTTTTTCTGTAAATTGTCAGGCTTCAACTTGTCTTTGTACGTTAAATCTTTGAAAGAGAACAAATCAGCATCCCTTATTAAGAATATGGTTTAAGATTATGGTTCAGTTTTTCTAAGAAAATTTCTGAACACAGTTTTAAATTATGCCTAACATGTTAACGAATGGAAGTTACTTGTCCAAAAAAGTTTCTGACAGTCTGCAATTTATTATAAAAGAAAATTATCTCAACTTCGAGATATCTCTAATCGACTGACACCGGGTATACGTTGTGATAGAACTGGGAGCAATATATCGATTAAAAGCATCCACCGATTGATATGTTTACAACACTTTTTTGTATATTGAGATAAATAATAATAATAATTAATAAATAAACACTAATAACATATGATTTAACAACATATGATTTAAAAACAGATTATCACGAATTAACCAGAAACCTTAATGCTGTGTGAGATAATATTAAATATGCTAATTTAGTGCAGACGATATTTTAAGTTAAAAAACAGAAAGTTAAAAAAACGAACTTCCTCAACATACTTAGATTTCGTGATGTTTACTTTCAAAATATTGTGTTATTTCGTAATCTAGAATAGTTTAATCAGTGGTCAAAAATTTGGCTCCTTTACAGTTAGTTTTAATCTGTACGCATTTCATTTTATCTATAGAACTTTTTAAGCAAATTAAAGAATTTTGCACACGATTGGATGCCTGCTAATGACGTCATCGTTCGTAAATCGTAACATTTGTCGATTCAGAAGCCAATCAGTAGCGACAAAAGCCTGTGACGTCGCTTACAGGTTTTCAATCAAATATGATTTAAATCACGTGGTTAGGCATAATCACTTCACTTCATCTCAAGTTTTAAGTACCCAATTAAAAGACTGACTTCAAAATGTTTTTTTGTTTTTTTTTCAACGCTGCATTTCTCTAACAGTTCTTGAATTAAATTTCCTTACAATTAAACACATTGTAAGAACATTAATGTTCTATTTTAGTGCACCTACTTAAATATCTTTGATATTCTTTCATCTTCCGGTTATTATCAATCAATCATGCAAATGATTTTAAACCCTTAGGCGGAACAAATCATTCAGATTACTCACGTTACTATTCTCCTTCATCATCCAGTTATATGAAGTTTGTTTCTATTTTTATTAAATCTTCTTAAGGAAGCACTTAAAGAAACAAGTTTTCTCTTCCGGTGAGGGGGGGAAGAGAGATTTCACAAATGAAAACAAAAGAGTAAGGGGTCATTGTCACTCAATCGATGAAATCTTCTACATAACGGAACATTATACCGTCTGTCTGTCTGTCAGAGTTTACTATTCCGAGTAAAGTGCTTCTCTGAACTATATGGTGACCTTATAGGCGGAAGAAGCTGTCTATTGTTAGAATACTTTTTTTTTCCTTTTTAGACTGATTGGTATCGTATCGATGTTTTGTGTTATGCTGCACATAATAATGGTTGATTAATGATTATATTAGTTTACAATTAAAATTTGTATTTTGGTAGTATCCGGTCGAAATAGACTTCCTAGTTGTTATCGTTTGCTACACATAAATTATGATTCATGTTAAGATAATTCAGTATCATTGTAGTCATTTTCAAAGAAAAAAAATGGTTCGGATAAAAAATTATTCATGATTTTCTTTATTTTTAGTAAATTAAAATTCACTGTTATGCTGCACATAATGGTTAATTAATGATTATATTAGTTTACAATTAAAATTTGTATTTTGGTAGTATCCGGTCGAAATAGACTTCCTAGTTGTTATCGTTTGCTAGACATAAATTATGATTCATGTTAAGATAATTCAGTATCATTGTAGTCATTTTCAAAGAAAAAAAACTGGTTCGGATAAAAAATTATTCATGATTTTCTTTATTTTTAGTAAATTAAAATTCACTGTTATGCTGCACATAATGGTTAATTAATGATTATATTAGTTTACAATTAAAATTTGTATTTTGGNGAATTTATTGCATGTTCTTTGACAATTATTTATCTTTATAATTCTTTATGTTCGGTAAGCACTGCTAAATTTCAGGTAACTGGCAAGTGGGAATGACGTCATTAATTAATATTTCGGAAACGGGCTTAATCCACAAGTTTATTTGGTTTATGCATAGTTATAGTTATGATTGTGAATCGTGCTGCGATAATCCTGATTATTCAAGGAGAAAAAAATTCTAACAAAATTACTGTACTGCATGGTAATGACATTTCTGGTTTTTTTTTTTGAAATAAAAAACAACAACAACATAATTTCGGTATTAAAATATACTGCATTTAAGGAAGTCATTTGGTGATTTTTCGATTAATCGGTTTAACGGTTTACTAGGAATTCTGGTTTTCGAAATTATCGTTTTCATTATCACAAATTTAATATAAAATACAGAACTGAAAAGTAAATTTAATCGAATAAGTGGTTTTTATGCCATGCTAAGGTTTCATAATAAAGTTATCAAACTTTACTTCATTTTCCAAATTTTATCGCACATTATAGAACCATATTTTATTTTTAATTTTGCCAGAAGTTAATACCAAAGCATTTCGGAAGAAAGTATTTATCTTTTCGGAGTTCCTATAGAGCATTAAACACGGGAAATTTTACCATACTCTAGTTTTGACCATTTTTTTTTTTTTTTTCGGTTTAGTGTATGATGCATATTTACTCAAATTTTGAAACGTTACGTAATTTAAATGGGGAGAAAGTAATTTTGAAGAAAAAAAAAATTTTTTTTAACAAAACTAACGTTAACCCAGCTTTTTTTTAAAAATAAATATAGGTATAAAAAAATTTGCGTATTATTAAAATACATTCAAAAACTTAAAAATATTTTCATAAGTACTTTCTAAATAGTTTTATTCCTGATCAATCTTCATAAACAATGAGAAATAAATCAGAATATCAGTATTAAGTTTGAGCACAAACTTTTACTAAAGCAAATATTTTTAAAAAAAATATTTGTTTATACATTTTATAAAAAAACAAAACAAATATTTTAAATAAATCGTGAAAAAAACTTTTCCTAAGTTTCATTTTCTGGTATACAAAATCCGTCAAGCATTAATCATATAAGACTTAGTATTTTATTTGAAAACTAAATAAACCCCGATTTCTCAAGATCAGCATAACTAAAATTTGTCGAATATTCATTTTAGAGTCCGAAATGAGGTTCTAGAATTACATAATTAGCAAATAAAATGAACAAACTATTAATTTCAGTTTATATGTTCAGATATTTTCTAAGAATCACAATAATAAAAAAAAATACTTCTGATTAAACATTTTCTGTTTTAATTTAATGAAGCGCTTTGTTCCAATCATAAAAAAATAAAATTTTAATTAAATTTAAATTTTTTAAGAATGTTACTTTTCGTCAAAGACGTATGATTACCAAATTTCGGTATCATATAGATCATGACTAACAGCGATTCAATGTAAGACTAATTACATAAAAAGGGAAAACCCAGTAAAGATCAAAATCTATGACAAGTTATTTTTGGTAGGCATCAGCGAGGAATTCAATGACTTCATGAACGAATCACTAGTGAAATTACTTACAAGTAATTTACTAGCTGTAATAAAGCTACTAACTGTAACTTAAATTTATTACAGCTTACTAGCTGTAATAAATTTAGGTTTAATCACGCAGAAGTGAAATAAAAATATTCGATATATTTCTTTTACATTTTTTCTTCCCTCAACTCTTAAATTATTATTATTCAAATATTAGCTCAACTATTTTCTGTCTAATGTAAAATATATAAATAAGTAAATAAATATGAAATAACTAAAACGAATGAAGAAAAATGAAGAAAAAGAATGTATGAAGAAATTACTTCGCATAAGTATCGAAGTCTAAATGTAACCTTTTAATGAAATCAAACTATTACAGCTTACTAGCTGTGATAAATTTAGGTTTAATCAAGCAGAAGTAAAATAAAAATATTCGATATATTTCTTTTACATTTTTTCTTTACTCAACTATGAAAATTATTATTATTCAAATGTTAGATCAACTATTTTCTGTCTAATGTAAAATATATAAATCAGTAAGTAAATATGAAATAACTAAAATGAATGAATAAAAAGAATGAATGAGAAGAATGAATGAAGAAAATATTTCGCATAAGTATCGAAGTCTAAATTTAACCTTTTAATGAAATCAAACTATGTATTACAGCTTACTAGCTGTAATAAATTTAGGTTTAATCACGCAGAAGTAAAATAAAAATATTCGATATATTTCTTTTGTATTTTTTCTTTGCTCAATTCTTAAATTATTATTCAAATATTAGATCAACTATTTTCCTTCTAATGTAAAACATATAAATAAGTAAATAAATATGAAATAACTAAAATGAATGAAGAAAAATGAAGAAAAAGAATGAATGAAGAAAATATTTCGCATAAGTATCGAAGTCTAAATGTAACCTTTTGATGAAATCAAACAATTTGGCGAGCACATAAGATGAAAAAATTCAATAAATCTATAAATTAGAAGACTTATATTTTACTTTTATTTTACCTAAATAAATATGAAATAACTAAAATGAATGAAGAAAAATGAATAAAAAGAATGAATGATGAAAATATTTCGCATAAGTATCGAAGTCTAAATGTAATCTTTTAATGCAATCAAACAATTTGGCAAGCATATGAGATGGAAAAAATTCAATAATTCCATAAATTAGAAGATTTTTATTTTACCTGCAAATAGACTTCCTAGATCTTGACTACTGCAATGACCGATAAACGTCAGGGCACAAGTCAAAGTCAAGGTCACATGTCTTAAGTTGCACCTCCAACGTCGATGCATTTTATGAATCCAATAAAACTACTTCCCTTGATGCAAGACTTCAACTTTCGCGACAAAAAAAAAATTTCAAAATTTATAAATCAAAGCATAGTTAACTGCGACCAATCTTTTTTCAAGCCACTTGTCAAAGACATCAAACTTAAAAACGTTACTTGCCGGTCAGAGAGTAACTCACGAATGAGACTGAGTATAACGGATGATGTTGATGAGATTTTTAAGAAACCGGCTTCAAGGCTACGAATGAAAAAGAGCTCTCGACTTTTCCCACTCTAGATTTCGGTTTTGGTGTTTCACTCTCGATTTACCGAATTTTTTTTTTCCTCCCACCCGGCCTCAATAAACTATTTAATCCCCTATATCGAACAGATTTAAATTGGAACTTGGGATGGATCAAATTCCCTGGAAGATTTTCATCGCCTTGTTGATTCTTATCGTTGTGTCCAGACGTTCAGTTGGCATTGATTTTTGAGGGATTGATTTGCACAGTATTGTTATCTAATTGGATACATAAAATGGGCTATTTTCTTTTAATTTCCTTCTAAATATTGATTTCTCTTTTTACGAAATGAGTTTTTTACCCTCGGCTACTGTTTCAAGGAAAAGGAATGCATTAACTGGTAGAGAAGAAGAGGATGGTTTAAAGCTATTTAAAATGGGTCTAAAGTTTCGCATGTAGAGTTCAAACATTGACTTTCGTTTTTATTTTAATTTTTCGATTTTTACTTTATTTGAGTTTTTTTTTTTAAATCGATCATGTTTATTACTCGTTGCTGGACGATTGCTGCTTTTTTTTTCTTTTTAATTTAGTAATAAGTATTACATTTTCCAAGGGAAAAAAATGAAAAAAAAAGAAAAAACTTTACTAAGGCGTTTTGATGCAGCAGTTTTTTTTTCCTTTTTTAGCTGATTTAAATCAATATATATTTATATAAAATAAAAATTAAAAAATTCATCTTGTTTTGACGTCTTCTAAAATATAAACTTCTTGCTTATGATTGTTTAATCTATAAACAAACTTTTTTACATATACGAATGGTCTTACTGATTTATATATTAATTATAAGCCAATTTGTTTCTCTATCAATTCAAAATAAATTTTTATATAGAGCGATAAATTCAGAAAAGGTTGTTTAAAAGTCATGTTATTCAAAAATGCATTTATTCCTTAATAATGATTTCAAATGTTTAAAGAATTGGTATTCATTAAGGATTACAGGATATGGTGAGTCAGTAANTCATCTTGTTTTGGAGTCTTCTAAAATATAAACTTCTTGCTTGTGATTGTTTAATCTATAAACAAACTTTTTTATATATACGAATGGTCTTACTGATTTATATATTAATTATAAGCCAATTTGTTTCTCTATCAATTCAAAATAAATTTTTATATAGAGCGATAAATTCAGAAAAGGTTGTTTAAAAGTCATGTTATTCAAAAATGCATTTATTCCTTAATAATGATTTCAAATGTTTAAAGAATTGGTATTCATTAAGGATTACAGGATATGGTGAGCCAGTAAAATCTTAAAATCTCTCTTCGTTTAGTGTCTGGTTTGTGATTTTTGCAAAATGAGGTTTTATCGACAAAGAGAGAAACTGTATGGTTAAAATTGCCAGAATATGTTAAAATTTACCGTGTTTCTGGCTGTATGGTAATACTAAAAGTCTCGGTAATTTTTATTGAACGCTTGGATTATGATTTTGGTGAACTTAACAATAAAATCTGGCTTTATAATATGTGATAAAACTTGGTTAAATGTGAAAACGTTTGGTAGTTTTATCATGATATCTTAGAGCATGGCATCCTTTATTTGCTTAAATTTTCATTTCAGTTTTGTATTTATTTTACTAAATGTGTGGTAATAAGAACTATAATTTTGAAAACTAGAATTTCCGGAAAACCGTTGCCATATGATCAGAAAAATTACCAAATGAATGGTTCGAATATTTTATATTTTGTTTTATTAACCAAAGTTATGTTGTTGTTTTTTTTTTCATCATAAATGTCATTACCATACAGTATAGTAATTTAACCAGAATTTTTTTCGCCATGTAATTATAGGAATTTTACTACTTTTACTTTTTTTAGGAATGGATAATCATAGGTTACCTTTTCAATTTTAAAATGGATAATTCGTTAGTAAAGTTGATGTGTAAATACGAATTTGTTTTCTAGCAATTTCTACTATGGAATAATTTAAGTAAAGAACTTAACCAAAACCATAAGGTAAACAGTAGAATTTTTTTTTAATTGGCTAGTGGACAGAATTGTAGCATATTTAATAGTGCCTACTTTCAAAAAATGTGATTAAAACATGAGTGGGATTGAAAATTTTAGGCGATAACGAAAACTGAGTAATAATAATATAAGATATTTCTTTCCAAGCCTCTTTCGAAATATATTTTATAAGGTTCATTTCTAAAATTAAGAAAAAAATTTAAGAAACAAGCGTGAGCTAAAGTAATTTTTAGTATATTCAAAACATTCATAATAATTCCATGCTTATTTAAAAAAAAATAAGATTAAAATCAACGAGTCTAGACAATCGTCACTCGTGATATTTAGTCGCCCTGAGACCGATATTGACCATGAATCTTCCCCTATATCAAGGAGTGCTTATCTTTTACATGTTGTTGTTGTTTCTAATGACCCTTGCCACACGGGAAAGCCTGCTTGGTGAAACCTGGCAAATTTAAGGCAGAGTGTGCGTTTCTTGTTTTTCAGTGGTGCCACCTATCGCCAAGAATTCGACTTCTGCCACACCATACGTCGCACCCGTTTATAGGGCGGACCCATTCATTCATCCACAGATCGTAATTTTCACCTGAATCAGAGAACGATCGATCTCCAATCCAGTACCCCCGGGGTATTGATTTGTTATGGGAACATGGAGGACTTTTGCGACTCGACAGATTTAGCGCGCATCAGTCACTTTACTACACGGGGAGTCTTCGGCTGGGCTGGGTTCGAGCCCACGAACTCTCGGACATGGGCCCAGCGCCCTACCGACCAGGCTATCCCAGCCCGTTTTTATATGTAATTTAATAAAATGAAGTGTTTCAACTCGATTATATATTTGGTTGCGATTTTTACTCGATTCAATCAATCCTTTGTCATTTAAATTTTTATTACCAGCAAAATAGTTGCATTTCAAAAATTATTTCTTTTTTTTTAATTTTTCCATAACACAGCGGCCTCAAATATTGCTTCTACTAATTGTGACTTCCTGATCATATTCTCATGTCAGAAATGAAATCATTTTATTCAAAATATTGAATATAGTTAAAGGTAAATTTCGTCTTGCGGTAACTATTTTTCTGTGATATCGCGAAATTTTATGAATAGTTTTTTATTTCATTTTATTGTGTTGAATTAATCATAATATATCGACCTATTAAGATAGTTAAGTTATCGTGTTCTGTAATTTTGTTCACTAAATATTTATCAACATTAGAAATTAAGAAACTGCTTCATTCAGAATACATTTGAAAACGATTATAAACTCTCCACTATTCTAATGCTATTACACATTTTTTGAAAAGTATTTTTTATTGAATTAGAATTAATAATTAAATAGGACGAAATATTTTCTAATGCTTAAAAATGAGGTAGACTTATGCTTCTAATGCTTAAAAATAAGGCTTAAAAATGATGAAGATAGTGTAAGACATTCATTAACAAAACAGCAATAATATACATTAATTAAATTGTCATTTATAGTATTACTTAATTTAATTTACTCATTTTGAAACTGTGACGCTTAAGTAATCAAATATTAGACTGCTGGAAATTTCTCGGTAAATATTGCTATATAGCAATTAATGTAATTGTTGTTTTACCATAATCAACTGAAACAGTCAAATATACATTTAAGAAAAAAAGATGATATTCAAACTGTTAAGTGCGAAAAAAAAGCGTATATTGCTTGTTTTTACCTAATACGGTTTAACCAACCGAATTCTATCGGCGCCAACTAGACCCACCTTATGAAATGCTTACGATAACTGTAAGAGTTAATCTGTCAATCTCGTGACCGGCTGAGCAGTGGTTCGAATCCCATATATTTCTTCCGTCTCAACCTGTAAAATAGTTATCAATATATATAATTAGTATCTCAGGGTTGATACCATAACACTCTACAATCGGTGACCTTAGAATACAAAACTATATCATTCACGCATAAATGACCCAGCACTCACACATTTCAAATGCCCGCTTAAGAATTATTTTTATGGTTCGGAAACTATTAAATTAATTATTATTAACTGTAAATGATTACAAAACCGTACAGTTTTATATTCACGGTTTTTTAACTGTACCAGTTGTAAATGGTTTAAAACCCGTAAAGGTATAAAATAATCCAAACCATAAACTTTTCGGTTGATTGGATGGACAGACTGCTGCAAGCTATTTTACCGTAATTTCAGAATGAAAATTCTGAAAGTGCTCAGCTTAAGTTTTGTTAATCGAGTTAAAATTAAAAGCTTTTACTTAATTAAACGACCATTAAGTTTTGCTCTTTATTTAAATACTAGCCGCCTAAGGCGGCCAGCTGTCCGCCACGCTAAAGGTTTTCACAAATAAAGTTTTTTAAAACATTGCAGGAAATCTGAAGATTAGTGGACAATTAAAGTGTTCCTGTCCTGCAATTTTGTCTTCATATCCTCGGGCCCTAGCACTGCTAGAAGAGACACGATCCTCTTCCAATCTTCTTTGACGTTTTTCAGGTGTTTCTCGGACCCTAGCACTACTAATTGAGACACGATCCTCTTCTAATCTTCTTTGACGTTTCTCTGATACTTCTTGGGCTCTAGAATTGCTTGTCGAAATTCGGCCATGTTCCATCCTTCTTTGACATTCCACAGACGTTTCTTGGGCCCTTCTTCTTCTTTGAGAATCTCTCAATATCTTTTTCTTTGGCAAAATACAAAGTTTTTTGGAAGGCGGTTCTGCCATGTCATTAATCGGGTTTTTAAGAAGTCAACGAATACTTTAGAACAACAATTGCTATGGAAGCAAATCATGAAACTTCAATATTAAAATCTAAGTGCTTACCTGCAAACTGAAACTTTCTGAAAATAACTAATTACATTTAATAAAAACTGTTAAAAGAAAGAATAGAAAAACCAAAGAGATCCAAGGTAAGTGTGATCGTTCCTTCAAACACAATTAAATTCCTATTTTATATATTATATAGCTACAACGCTTAAGAAAAAAAAA